CATTGGTCACAATTACAGTTACATACTCCACAAAGTAATTGACATTATAGCAAAATTGGCTGTATTAATTAGAGGGATACTGTGACAAAAGTAAACTTCAAATGTCTCAGTGAAAACTACTGGTAAAACATGTTAGCACACAAGTAATAAATTTCAGTATAATAAAAGGGAATCAGGAAACAATAAGCAGATGCTTATTGTTATAAGGGAAAATTTGTGCTATATTGGAAACAAGCTAGAACATTCTAAACAATGTATAATATAAAGCATAACACACTCTCACTCCCCTTGAAAAAGGAATACTGTCCCATTTCCCATAAGTTAACTGTAGTAGTCAGTTGGTAGAGGATCACAATTGAGTCCAATTATGCTGCACTGGACTATAATTGGGTTAAAGGGCTGTCATTTACTTCTGAAATGAGAGCTCAAATGATATCTGTCAACCTTTGGAATCAGGAGTTAGTCTGGCATCAGGAGTTACTTATTAGCTGCTACAGAAGTCCAGCACACAGCACAACCAATCATTGAAAACATGAAGAGTGAAAACACTTGTCAGGGCAAATGAGTTGTTTTGGCTTTTTTCCCTTGGACAGCTGAGGAAAGCCATACTGAATATCTAAGTAGAAATGTCAAGAAAAACATATTGTAACTTTTTCTGAAAGGGAAGATAAAGAGGACCTGGAATAGAAGACATGAAGAAAAATAAGATTTGATCAAAGAAAATAAAATACATTAAAAAACCCCTGCAATACCTTGAAAGGTAATGGAATGGATATAATAGTTAAAAGCCTGGGGGTGTGTGTGTCTCCTTTGGATTGTTAAGTTTTATCTTCCTTTGAGACCCCAGTTATATAAATCACTCTTAGCTGTATTCAGAACTCACCTAAACCAGTCAACGGGAATGCACATAGTGCCAAGGTCCTAGGAAAAAAGAATAACAGAAAATAGAAATACTTTAAAGGAGGGAAAGAACAGGATAAACTCAGAGCAAATGTTACATTTATCATACAACCAGTGTACACACACACTCTGCCAAACCTGGAAAAACATACACTTAGTGTCAAACCTGAATTATGGGACGGGATTTCTTGGAGTTTTTGCTTTGGACCCATGTTTGGAAAATAACCATAAATGGTATGTTGCCTTAAAAATGGCTTACCAACAGGAAAATATTAGGACGGATCCTGAAACATTCAAGGCTTTCCGATTGCAACATCATGAAATTGACAGCCATCTCCAACAACAAAAGAACTCATCACGGACCAAAACAGAATTGCTTGGTGAAGACTGTTGTTATGAAAAAAAGGTTACACTTGTAATTCAGGGTTTATTATAAGCTGCTCTCAAGTCAATTCTAAAATTTTCCTAATGAGAAATGCTTTTGTAATCTCAAGTCAGTAAGAATTATCCTTTTGTGACTTTCAAAACTGTGTTTTAATTGTCCTTCCTTCCCATTTGAAGTATTTCTAAAACAAGACACCGTTTCTCTGCAAATTGGTGCAAGACAGATTTTCCCACTGTGGCACCCATTCAAGTTTTCTATGACAACTAGGCCTTATACCAAGGTTTCAGTGTGTGCATAAAAGTAGAAAAAAAAAATCCTTTCACTTACTTTTAACTGCATCTTTTGAATAATATATTCAGGAAACAGTCCCAAGCACCTTGCCATAGGTGCTCAAAGTCATGGAATACAGAAGAACAGATTTCTTCCCTGGCTGAAAGAGGCTTTATCAAGTTTATTTTATTCTAGAAGACTTACGTCTGTGCTTTATAGATGGCTTTTGTAGAGGTTTCCGATCAGCTACTAGTTGAGATTTGATAAGTTTTTATTAACTGCTAAGTGGAAAAAGATGGACCAACTGGTCTGTATTTCATTCAACATCAGTCATGCCAGCTGCTTTGCAGGGAGCAACTGAGTGCATCTTTCTTTTAGAGTGCAGTTTGATTTTGGGCAAAAGATGGGAAGGCATAATAATAACATTTAATGACATTAATGACATAATGATAATGAACATCTACAGTGTGGCAATATTTTAAACAAAGAACTCCCAGCTCTCAAATACCACACACAGGTGTGATACCTCAGTGGGAAGCAACTTAGGGATGAATGAATAATTCTGTCCTCTTGTTTACTAAGACTATACGCATTACATTTGCCATTAAAAAAAAACCAAGCACCAAAACAAACCACCTCATTGCTTTGCCTCTCCGGGAAGTGCTTGTAGGCTACCTTTTAGCTGCAAGTGCTTTATAATTCAAGCTAACTGTAGCTGAAATTGGTGTCCCTTAGCTGCTTGATTAGTTAGATAAATTCTGCATGCTTGTGCCTGGGATCCATGGTAATGGAGTTACGTTGCTAAGCTATGAAATGTGCAGGAGGGTCCAGCACTTCGGGAAGGATATGATTTCCAGGGCTAATGAAACTTGGTAGTGAAGGCAAGAAGGAATGCTTGGAGGAATGAACAACAGCAATCACTGGAACAGTGACAGGGAGGGGATTGCTCAGGTCAGCAGGTACAGGCAGGGCAACAACGCCCCAGGAAAGCTTCCCTGTGAGGGATGTAACAACCATTGGAAAGATCGTTTAAAAGTGGTGTTGCGGGGGAAGAGTCTAAAAATTCCTGTCACCCTGAGGAAAGCCTGCATGGCAACATTGTTACAGGTATTTGCATGGAGGATGCATTAACCCCTTACCACATATGCAGGAGCTTTTAACCAGGGCTACAAGAAGAGCTAAACAAAGCCAGGGCAGACTGCTACACGTGGTCGCTCTCAAACTTTTGGGTAGACATAATGATTATGTCTGGCCATCCTAGCAAGAGAGGATTTATTTTTTTCCCCCTGGCATAACAAGCAAAGGTCTCTTCAGACTTGTTGTTTTAGTGAATGCAGAAGACTCCTCCTGTGTTCAAGGCCAGGGGGTGGCTGGCGGGAAGCTGTGAAGTCTGTACCCAGATTACCCTGGGTACTCTGGTGTTACCAGTAATCAAATAGACTGCTGCTGCCTGCTGCTACCAGCATCTCAAGGATGGAAAATAAGAGGAAAGAAGGAAGGGGAGGAAGGGGAGGATGGGAAGGAAAAAAGGAAGAGCAGATAAAATATCTTAGCTTTTGCATGCTAGAGCGTGTTTTCTGTTCCCTTTGGGTCTTGACACAACAGCTGAGATCCTCAAGGGACAGGATAAACTTAAAGGCCCAGAGCTGAGTCAGGTTTTTATTTTTGACCAGAATCCTAACTCAAGTGCAAGAAGCAATGTAACACATCAGGAAGGATAAATAAGAACTGTATATCTATTTGAATTCTCATATGTACCCCCTTATTGCAACTGTAATTTTTAAAACTTTGTTTTAAGTAGCTTTTGCCACGTTAGATTTAATATTTCCCCATAGTACCAAATAGGAGAGGTCCTGCTCTGCTAAACCCTGTTAAATGCATGTGAAGACAGTTCATAGTCCAGAAGACCTTTCAATCTAAGGCCAGTAAAAGTAAAGGAAAAGTGTGTATCAAATATACTATTTATTTAATGACAAAAGCCTCCTTGTCTTCTATTCAAGTGCCTTGCAACCTCTCCATCATTAACGGACTGAGTTCTGCTGTCACAGGACAGGTGGTCCTCAAAGAGATAAAATTTTCCTCTGAAATAACCTGATTGTGCAGTTCCATAACTTTCTTTGAAAGTACCAGAGTATTTCATAAATACTTATGAATTTAGTCTCCTTGTTCAGTTTGCCCAAATTATATCAATGCACCTTGCATTTTCACATTAACTATTCTTCCCCTGGATGGTACACTGCTGTTCACTGCAGTTCCAAATCCTGCGCCAGGAAACAGCAAGGGATTTGGATGACTGGAGGGGTGGTGGGGAATACAAAAATCCCTAGGAAGCTTCAAAGGCTATCCTCTGGGCTTCCCAATGGATGGACAAGGGAAAAGAGACAGTCTTTGAAGATGGGTGAAGAGAAGCCAGAATGCCACTTCTTTTAGATGTCATCATTCTGCAGAGGGATGTAATTTCACTGTGTTCTGGTGCTAGGGAAGCCAAAGTACAGGCTTCTAAAAGGTGCTGAACAGTTTCAAAGGAAGGTAGCTGCCTCTGCAAATTTTGGAAAAATAGGCATCTTCAGTTCAAGTCCTAGAATATACATAAAAAACTGAATCCAGTTATCTTAAGGTCACTTTTCTGAAAAAAATTTTGGGGTTACATCTCATCTGATCCCAGCCTTCTCAGTAATTACTCAGTCTAGGATGAGCTTTATATGTTTCCCTAGGCTACCTGAATTATAAGACTAAATCACTTTCTCTTTGGTAACAATTTCAGGAAGAGGAAAAAAAAACTGGGTCAAAACCTGTCAAATTGAAACTAGTAAAAAACCCAAAAGGACAACAACAAAACCCCCCAACAATATAAGCTGCCATATATGCAAGAGAACTGACAAATAAAATTTTATTTATAGAAAAAAAGCAAGTAAGTTGAATGCACAGGACTTATCTAAAGGAAGACTAAAAAAGACATGAATATTAAAAGATAACAAATTGAAACTCAGAATGCTGTATAGAGATATATATTTTAATGATATGCAGTAATATAAAATTACAAGAAGGAAAATATAAGACCATTAAACAGGGGAAAAAAGTTTAATAATGACAATCTAAAAGGCTACAGAATTGTATTCTGAAGGAAGCTCTGAAAAATTTACCTGTGTCATTAAAACCTGGACTGACTAAGATCTGGAAATACTGTGTACTGAGAAGGAGAAAGCCAATTAAAAACAAGAAAGTTATACTGTAAATTTTACTTCTCAGATCTGCTTGAAGGTCTTTAGCACAACATCTTCCATTCAAGCCTGCAGTTTAGGACAAAATAAGGCTAACGCTATGTGATATTACAACAAAAGTCTCACAAACATAGACTTGGAGAAGAAGCTGTTTAAGGAAAAACCTAGTAACAAGAAATGATACCAAAAATGCTCTTCAATGTTTTTCATATGATGGGTTTTTCCAGGTATATTTTCACACTTATATTTGATTTTTGGTTTATTGACTTAGCATTCAAATGTAAAGTCAAATTTGCATTTTCAATGCTATCTCCTTTGTCTCCAAATGAACAACACCCATTCTAAAGATCAGAAGATGAGTAGTCTTATACATACATAGCTATTCATGTTTTCTTGTGGATGTACAAGAAATACAAACCTGTATGAAAGTAGCTGGAATCTTTTGCATCATCAGGACAGTAACAGTATTCCTCCAGCCAGAATCGTGCTGAAATAATTCATCTAGATTCAGGAGAAAAAATAGAACCAGCTCATTTAGACTATGCATGGGGTAAAACTTTGTATGTTAAAATGTAAAACCAAATAAACAAACAAAAACAAAATGAAAAAACCCAAAGAAAGATGCATCTGTTTTCACTGACAGCCTCACTCTCCCTGCTCAGCTGTGTCAGTTCTGCCAGTAATGAGCATAAGAACTAATATCACTGGGTTTTGTTCCTTTGCAGTAAATTATAAATGCAACTCTGATGGCAGTACAAGCCATTATAACTCTGACATCAAGATGTTGAGGCACACTTAAGGCTTGGGTTGCTTACCTGTCTTTGAAAGAATCTTTCTCAAAATTAATCAAATTGCCCTGCTTCCAGCAGAAGAGTACTAATGCCTACCACAGAAAACACACACCCAGCCTTAATTCTGCCCTGTAAGGGATCTAATGTAAGGTGCACAGGAGCGGGAAGGACTGACTGTTCCAAATGGCCTCAAAGATAACAACAAGAAGCAAGCATATACAGAAAAGTACAGTAAAGTGGTTTGCCTTGTATAAATCCCATAGTAACTGTGTGTAAGTTTTGTCTGTGGGATTCCTCCATCGGTGGTAATCACCAGGGCTGAGGGACCAGGGGTAGAGTGGGGCCAGCTGCTTCGGTCTCACCTTCCTCTTGTGTTGGGCAGAGAAAGTTACAGCGTGCCTACAGCTTACAACATTCAAAGACGATGCAGAATTCATGCTGGTTTATGACCAATTCTACCATCATGAATTAACACGGCTTTTCCCCTCCTCTCCATTTACTGACAACAAAACTTAAAAATTCCAAACAACCCTTCAGGATTTATGCAAAGTCTTCATGGCCCAGACTACCTTTCACCATGACATTTTCTTGGTATGGCAAGGACTCTAAAATGCTTCTTTTCCAGCATTTTGGGGAAGGAACTATTCTAGAAGTTTCCCATTTTTCAGATGATCTACAAGAAGATGCATGATATTTGACATGTAAAAGGACGATCAATGAAACATCAGCAACATACAAACAGGAGAGAAGGTGGCATGTTTGAAGAATGTACCTATCCTAGAGATTAAAAGGAAGCCAATCAAAGGCCAACATCATACACTCAGTCAACATTGCTCCCAAATGAAGTTTGGGAAGGGCTAATTTGTTAAAGCAGCACTGCAGCCTTTACCTAACAACTTGAATCCCACCACCTTAGGGAGACAATTACTCCTCTACTAGCAGCAAATCTTGCTGACCTTAGGAGCTGCAGAAGATATCTGCAACCTTCTGTGGGGAGCTGAGGGAAAAAAAGATGTCCCAAAATACCTCTGTAGAGAGAAAATTACTATGAACCAAGACTCTCAGACAGTTAAAATATTTTACTGTTTAATGGGGATTGCTGAGCAGCTGGATTCCAGGGCAGCCCAACAATGTGGCCTCTGTGGCACCTGCTGGTTTGCACCCTCTAACAGCAGGAATTCAGATTAAACAGTAGAACCTGCACCAGAACAGCCTTGCTGCAGGTCATGGGACCCAGCACCACTGCTAGAGCTCTAACACTGAACTGATGGAAAGATACAAGCAGCTCAAGAGCCAGTAGGTGCACGTGAGCTTGGCCACCACCAACAGGATCCACACCGAGAAATACTCATAGTAAAAGATGTTACTTCCATAGAAATCCAGTTGCTGTATTTTGGTCTACATTGACTCCAAAGATTCCTTCCCAGCTCTCACAGGATCCTTGAGACTGGAGATTCCTTAATGGCCTTGAATGGTGAACTGGCTGAAAGGAAGTGTCCTTGATTTCACTCCAAAGCCTAAGAAGGGCTGGCAGAGGTCACAGATGCAGCACCAACAGGAAAGCCAAAATAAGCTGCTTGAAGGCATAAGAATGCATACCAATTTGTAACGGAAATGTGATTCTATTCCTCTCTCTTCTAGAAAAGCTAATCTTTCATTAATCTTTAAAAAAAAAAGAAAAAGCCCAAAGCAGCTCTTGCCTAACAAGACACAAATCTTGCCTGGAAGACCAAGATGAATCAAACCAGAATGTTGCCAATTTTATCTTGGGAGAAGGAAGGAGCACAGTGGGTGCATACCCTCAAGAGCAGGGGCTGTGGGAGCACATCAGCTAGATTGGGGGAAAAAAAAAAAAAAAATACCAGTTGGATAGGAAACAAAGCAATCTCCTGAACAGATTATGCTAAGAAATGGCTCTGGAGTTACTGCTCCAAGGCTAGGAGAGCAGAAACTGCAGACTCAATTGCTGGGAAAAGAGCGCCCAACAAATCGCCAAAGAACTGAGAACACAGATCTTCGTCATTAATTGGTAGGAAACACTCAACACTTATATTATTTATAGGAAGTAAATTTGGAGTGCCTTAGCATAGATGAAAGAAACCTTAGTGTTAATCTCTGGCCGTATGTAGGGGAAAAGGTCACAACTAAGGCTAGCCAATTTTTTTTTCCCGTCTAAGGATCGAGTGAAAGGCCAGATCATGTCTCTGGGAATTCATCACCAAAATGTCACCGGACCGTTTTCTACATCCCAAACCCAGTGGGTACGACAGGCGGCACATTTGGTGTCTGCCAGGAGCCGAAGTTCCCTTGAGGAGCGAGCCCCCCGCTCCCCCGGCACCAGCGGGGCTGCCCGGCCACCGCCGGGCCTCAGGAGCTGCGCTGGCACCTGGACGCAGCACAGGGCACTCCGGACGGACCGGCTGTGGGGGCAGCCTGGGACCTTCCCGCAGTCTCAAGGAGAGAGGCGGTGTCTGGAGACGGGGCAGGGGCAGGGGCAGCGCCCGCCCCCTTCCCTCCTTCCTTCCCACCCCCGTGACTCACCCGCCCCTCCCGGCGGACAAACTGCCAGCGCCGGAGTCACCGCCCCGTCCCGGCACTCCCGCGGGGCCGCGCCACTGCCATCCCCGAGCGGCCGGGCCGGGCGCTGCCCCGCGGGACGCGCCACCCCGCAGTCCTCGGACAGCCCAGCCAGGGGGGCGGCGGCGGCAGAGCTCGCTGTCCCTCCCGCCCGCCCGCGCTGCCCTTCCATATTTCCGCCACCTGGAGAGCGTCCATAGAGAACGCCCATGGAGACTGTCCATGGGAAACGCCCATGCAGAACGTCCCCGCGAGGGCCAGCGCCCCTCGCTTTGCCTCATGCCCCCCGCCCGTCCGCCACCCCCCCCCGGTCCCCTGCAGCTGCGCCTGCGCCCTCCCGCGGCCCGCTCCCCCGGCAGCCGTAGCCGCCCCGCCCCGCTGATTTGAATATGCTAACGAGGCGGGTACAGGCGGCCCTATGGCGGGGCCAGGAGGCGGTCACGTGGGGCAGGGACGTGTCCTTGAGGGGCGAGGCCCGACGTGCCCAGGCTGCCTTAAAAACGGGCGGCGAGTGAGGAAGCGCCTCAGTCAGAGCGAGAAAGTCTGGGGCGGCGGGGCTACGGCTGCTCCGCCTGAAACTTCTGAGTAACATCAACAGGGGGAGGGGAGGGCGGGCGGCGGTGGAGGAGGAGGAAGAAGAAGGTGGTGGTGGGGGGAAGGTTAGCCAGCAGCGCAGCCCTATCCGCCTCTCC